CGCGCGCCCCTTCCCGCCAGCGCTAACTCTCGCCCCCCCCCCCCGCCGGGAATTGTAGGTGCTCCAGCAAGTTATGGCGTCAAGCACATTACAGCGGGCTGTGTGCAGCTTGTGCACGTCATTCTTGGCATGAGTGACACGGCAGGATTGTCATCGGCAACATGCCTCGACTGTGCAAATCCACTACCTACCCCTGTTGCTGTTGGCACCTTGCGACGTGAGGGCAACCGTGGCTGCACGGGGGCCCAAGGCACAAGGGGCTGTCATGTGTGAGGCGATCTCAACCTGCACGTGCAGTACCGCACGCAGGCACAGTCCAGCGCAGCGTTGCGCGCATCGCGGCGCTGTTCCCCGGCCGGGATCCCAGGATCACAGCAGCCACAAACATTTACAACTATCAACGGTGTGCTCAGCACGATTTCCATCGTTTTCAGAGTATTGACCGGCAGGAGTTTTGCGATTGACTGGCTGAGCTGGCAAAAACGGCCCTCTCCATTCCGCTGCGTCCTCATAAAACGCGACTCTCGCACACTATTTATTTATTCATTATCCAACCTTAACTCCCACCCACCCTTCGGTCTTTCACAGCCTACGCGAACAACATGCGATCTGCGTGCTACGCCTTCGATATACGCCTTCACACGGTACTGTAAGTGGAACCCATCGCGTGATGCAGCTTGTGCTCTGCTGCCTCGCGTCCCAGTCGCCCCTGCACGCCCACGCACCTGGTCGGCAGCGCCGCTGTTTCGGTGCACCGGGCGCACGCGCTGCAGCGCGCTGCTGCTTGTGCACCCAGCGGCGCTGAATCCGCGGCGACCCGCGCTCTTGCGACTTCTGGCGGCCGCCGCACGGGGCTGTGACCATCCGACGGGGGCGCACCACGTTTGCAAGATGACGGGTTGCCGTCTTCCTTGCTGCGTGGCTGTGCTGTGGGGGGTCCTCTGGCTGAGCGGTTGCGTTCTACCCAGTGGCCCAGCCCTGACTCGTCCGAGCGGGCTGCGCGACACCCGTTGCACCAATGCACGGGCCGCGACATTATTTGGGATCCGATTGCAGCCCGCCTCCCCGTGGCGGATCCTGGCAGGGCCGCAGAGCGCTGCACCCCACGCTCTGCGGTCACCAAGAGGCTGCTGTGTGCGTGTGTGCGTGTGTGCGTGTGTGTGTGTGTTGAGGGGGCCCTCGTCGATGTGTGTGTGTGTGTGTGTGCGTGTGCACGCGAGGGAGGGTGCATGCCTGAGCAAGCCTGTTCGCGGTTGGTGATGGTGTGTGTGCGTGCTTGAGCAAGCCTGTGTCACCAGCAAAATGGAGCGGGCGCAGTGGCGGATGGGAAGGTGCGTGGGGGTGGTTGCTTGCACTTGGCACAGGGAGGGAGGCCAGCTGTTGTTTTGCGCTACAATGGCACGGCGTGCACAATTCCTGCATTTACAATGTTGTGACAATATTTGTCAGGCTCGTGGTTGCATGCAGGTGCGAGTGTCCGGGGGGGGGGGGAGCGCAGGACGGGCACGGT